CACGGGACACGATAACTTAAGAAGGCTTAAATGGAGTTGTCTTGATACTTGGTAGGTGGGTAGGTCTTGATGAGACCTGAAAATGATTAGATTTTGGACCCCCTAGCGGTTTGTTATGGTAATGCAGCTGAACTTCCGGTTTTGATATCTCATGATCTAGACATGCTAGTTTTTCAATGTTCTGCAATATTGCAGAATGTCACAATAATTTGTCCTGAAATGTGGAAATACTTTCTGCAAATGTACACTTTTGTGACCTGATTCAAACCCATACAAGAGTGCATGTTGGCAAATATTTTATATGCAATTTGAAAAATACAGTCATGCAAAACTAGTATATCATAAAGTCAGTAGTAAGCACAAACTTTAAGGTGAATTAAAAATAGTAATTATTATAATAATGATTGTATTAAACATACTTAATAATTGTGCTTGTAGTACAGTGTATATCTGACATAATACTGACAATGTCCTCATGCATTTCAGTTTTACATCAATTTTGTTAATTTAAAACTGCATTGTCAGAACATTTTGCCAATAATTGGTTGACTTGAAGGAAGTTATTAGAAACACTTAATCTTGGATTTTATGCACTCGGAAGTCTAAAATCTCTGATCTCTTGTTTCTTTCTTGTGTAAGAAGTTCTAGTGAAATCCTGACAAAAGTCTTCTCTGTTTAAAGTTAAAACTTTTGGTCCAACACAAAAATTCTCTCACCTAGAGCTTTCAACCAGTCACTCTGGTCTTCCTCAGTAGACTGACCCAGTGAAGCTTGTCACGTGGCTTCTTTGAAGTGTGACGTCAACACTGGGTCAAAGGTATCTGGTAGATGACGTCACACTTCAAAGAAGCCACGTGACAAGCTTCACTGGGTCAGTCTACTGACTGAGGAAGACCAGTCAAGTGACTGGTCGAAAGCTCTAGGTGAGAGATTTTTTTGTGTTGGACCAAAAGTTTTAACTTTAAACATGTAACTACCAACACTTTCATGATAGTAAAAATTTTCTCTGTCCACCCATGTAGATGTTACGTGAGGTTGAAGCCCGCCCCTCCAGTGTGTCCCCGCGTGTGTTAGGTCTGGTGGATTCACTCTGGGAGGAGACACTGGGAAACCTGTCTCACATACTCACTGGAGATGTTCTTAACATCAACCTGGACCAGGTAAGTTAGTATTATTTATGCACAAATACTTACAGATTTGGTTGGTTTTCCTTTAATGGTCGTCGGTGGCGCAACGGTTAGAGCGTTGGACTCGGGACCGAGAGGTCCCTGGTTTGATACTCACCGTGGCCCGACGTTGTGCCCTTGGGAAAGGCACTTTACACGACTTCCCCATCTATACGGTGGAGTGACGCCCACCGAGCCTCTTAGGCTAATCTGTCTGTCTGGGTGCCAAAAACACCTTACGGATGTGACAACATCTCATATTGGCCACTGAGAGCCGTAAAAAAGTTTTTTTCCTTTAATGCCATGATAATGATCATTCTGGGATACTCATTTTCACCTGAGTGAAGTAAGGAAAGTTGTGTTCATTGCCTTTTCCAAGGGTACAAGGTTGGTGACTTGGCAGGATTTGAACCCTGGACCTCTTGGGTCTGAGCTGCGAATGCCCAACCATTGTGCCACACAACCCCACTTTGCCGCAGTATAGTACAGTGGATTCATTCCTCATGCTAGCTGACATCTTTCACACTGCAGTCGTCCCTCAGACATCTGGAGCTGCATAGTTCCTGTTTAGAACTTACACCTGTACATATTTAGTCAGCCTGTCACAAAGTGTATAGAGGCTGAACAAATTTCTTTCCATAACTGCTTGTTGTGAACCCACTGTGAACCACATGTGCATTACCATACAAGAACCCCCCTATTTTAGAAGTTGAGAATGTTTCTGCTAGAGGCTACAGTTCAACTGGAAGCTTGCTTGCATAAGTACAATACTGCTACACACCTACCAAATACATGTAGATCCATTTACTGCTTCTAGCATTATGCTAAACACATACAATCAACAAAATGCTTAAAAAGCCTGCTGTAGTACCATTGGTAAAAGCCAGGTGGACCATTTTTGAACTTAACCTTCATTTTCACAACAGCTACCCACATACCAAATATTAAAAATATCCATCCACTGTGAACTATTTGAGTTATGAACATGACATTGAGGTACATACAGACCCACACCACAAACCCAAACTGAAGACATACATGTTGTACCCTTCTGAAGAAGTCAGTAAATATATAGTAGTCTAAGAGTGAATTCATTCCTAAAGCTACCGACATCTGGAGCCGCATAGTTCCCATTTAGAACTTTTATTCAGCTTGTCACACGACCGGTTTCGCCTGTGTGGCTTCTTCAAGTGTACAGAGGCTAAATGACACAAGTGCATGAAGTTTTCACTTAATATATACCTTTCCAGTGCATAGTGCCCTCAAGTCAGGTACATGTACATGGCGTTCAGATTGCCCTGACCTGTTATTATTAAGTCAATTAACTGAACTATTCTTCCCTTTCAGATTGAAAAAGCAGAGGCAATACTTCTTCAGCTGAAGCAGGCTGTTGAAAGGAAGGCACCGAATGACGAGCTACAGAAACTTTCTTCCGAGTTTTTCAGCGCGATCCCTCACCGACCTGACCACAAGGACACCATCAAGAACAAGAGGGAAATAGCACGGAAACAGGACATGTGTCAGGTATAGTGTACTAGGCAGATATAGTCTAGAAACAAGACATGTTTGGCTTCAGTTGAACCATAGCCTAGAAACAAGACATGTTTGGCTTCAGTTGAACCATAGTCTAGAAACAAGACATGTTTGGCTTCAGTTGAACCATAGTCTAGAAACAAGACATGTTTGGCTTCAGTTGAACCATAGCCTAGAAACAAGACATGTTTGGCTTCAGTTAAACCATAGCCTAGAAACAAGACATGTTTGGCTTCAGTTAAACCATAGCCTAGTAACAAAAGAGTCTAAATCCCTCCTGCTATAAAATTGCAACATGATGTAACCCAACACTAGTTACCATGGTGACAGACGTCTGGTTCTGGTCATTGACCTCAACTGTTTGGAGAAGAGAAAAAGAGGAAGACGAAACTGAGCAAAAACAATCATAAAAACTTCTTTTACAAAGGTAAACATAATCAAAACTGGTGTTACTAGATGTTGCAACCTTTGTCTTCAACTTGTCCTAATTTTCCTTATTTTTTGTTCCTTTCCCAGCTGATTCGAGACATGGTAAGTGTAAGCGAGGCCACAGGCTGGACTTCCCATCCGAGCGCGGTCGCTAGGTACCACGCCCTCCGATGTAACATCCAATCACTGGCCAGGGACAGCGAAGACTACCGTACTCTGGAGTCCATGATTCACTCCAGCCAGGAAAATGGGTGAGCAACCAGGAAGTATTGTTTTTGGGTGGCACTATTTTAGGGGAGTTTGTATGTACTGTGAAACAATTTATGCTTGTGAAAAATGAATTAGAGTCTTGCTTTGATAGCATGTCTAGACATCCTCACTATTCTCACGGCCATGGACACCATGTGACTCACCTTACCAGACTCGGGCTTGGTTTCAGCCAGCTGATCTACCACTTATTCCAGCATCACTGTATCAGTAGTCCCGAGTGCAAATGTGGGCATCCAAATGAGACACCTGATCACTATTTATTACACTGCAAATGTTACAATATTGAAAGGACTAAAATGTTGTTATCTATATCTTGTCTTCGTCTTTAAAACATGCTTCCTTCAGACCCACTCAACGCAAACGACGCCACATTATGTACTTGACTTCTTACAGGTAGCCCCTCCCTCCCATACCCTACTAACTGCCGTATCTTTGATATTGTGTTTAACTATATCCACCACTCTGGAAGATTTGACCAATCTCATTAATGTTATGCTATAGGTATTGGTGCGCCAGCCACTTTTATTTTATGTTTATGTTATACTTTATGTCATCTTTATGTTAGCATTTGTATTATGTTTTATGAGCAGCGGATTCACATGAGCACAACAAGTGCTTCCTATCTAATGCTCAAAAATCCATGTGAATAAAATAAAAAAATTTATGCTTGTGGTAGCAAAATTTCTCAGTCGGAGAAAAATGGACATCAGGTCAAGTGCAGAAAGAAAGAAAGAAAGTTGGCAAATAATTTTTTTAAGGTAATGATAAATTCGTGGGACAGAAGTGACCACAAAAACTGTGAAACTCAATATAACTCAATATAAATACCACAAATACTGTGAGTGATACAGTAAATACAGTATTTCATCTTCAGTGTGAGGATTAAAAGTGGGTAGGCAGAGATTTGGTTTTTAGTTGATTGACAGGGTTGTGCTCTGAGTGCTTGGATGTGGCATGAGGCTGCCAAGAATATTCATGTGTAATGAATATTGCATGAAATATTACTGATAGGTTCAACTTCTTAAAGTACTAATTATCTCATTGGTTACAGTACTCCGCCAATCAAAGTTGAGAGTGTTTTTCGAGTGTGCCGCTCCATGGAGGAAACTGGGTTTACCTCTGCCATTGGGAACATCCAAACTAAGTTCCACTCCTCACAGGTATACTATCTCTCTTTTGTCTTATCAAAAAGATTTTGTTACTTATCAACCTAATTTAAAACATCTGATAATGACTAATAATAAGTTATAATTGAATAATATAATTGTATTATTTTTTAATTTTCATGTTACCCACTCTGGCTATGTATTTTCTTTAAAAATCGAACAAGCAATGAATTTAATTCTTTGTTGCCAATTGGGAATAATATTATGTACCAGTTGGTTATGTCCAAATCTTTCAAAACTCATGTAATTTTAAATCAATTTCAATATATACTTAGTATACATACAATTTTGTATTAGATAGATTGTAGCTTTTTTTAACCTACTATGTTGTGTGTTTTGCAGGCACAGAACTTTGTTGGCATTTTGTCAAGGTATGTAAAACTTGAACAACTCATGGAATGAAATATAATCCTGTTGAAGCCTACACCTACATGTAGATCTGATGCAAGATTTCATGCATTTTATACCTGTTAAATTCTCAAATATTATAATTACACCTTTATTTCCAATCTAACCATCGTTATCATATAGCTAAGCGGCATTGACCAATAAGAAGTCTCCATTTCCCATTGGTCATCAGGCTGTAACATAAGTGAAAAATAATGAAAAAAAAAGTGGTCAGTTATAAGAATAACTGTCACTGACCACTTTTTGGACCATATCGTTATACGAGGAACAGGACACTAACTGTAGTGTTAACCCTTTATTATTATCTGTATTAATTTAGTGATTTTGACATGACCTTGAAACCTTTGTTGTCCAGAGGTCTGATGCTGCCCAAGGTCGTAGTTGATGACTTTGGCGGAACCAGAACAGACGCAGGCATGCTGGGACATGGCATCTACTTTTCTGATGCAAGGTAAGGCCACACCAATTTAATTTCTTGGTTAACGGATTTTTCTAGAAAAATAATGTAGCGGGCGGGTGAAAAAAAAAAAAAAACAGGCCTAGGCATCCTATTATGGCCCAAAATGGTACGATAGGAGCCATGAAGTCAACACACCAGGCTGGTTCAAAATTAAACAATGAATTTTGAACTTTTAATGATACCGTTGCATTGAAAGATGGAATAACTGTTACAACTATATAGGAAGAAAAGGACTGTTTTCAACTGTTCAGGGCAAAATATGAGCATTTTGCAGTTGATTCTGAATTTTTATTTTTATTTTCAAATCAGAAAAAAATGAAGCGGGCGATTCCGTTAACCAAGAAATTAAATTATTGTGGCCTAAGGGTTCTTGCTAAGGCCACACCAATTTAATTTGTTGTTTCTCAAAAAAATATGATGCGACAGGGCGAAAAAAAAAGAACAGGCCAAGGTATCCCATGATAGCCGGAAATGTTACAATATGAGCTCATGAAGTGAACATACCAGGCTGGTTTATAACTAAAACAATAGATTTTGAACTTTTAATGAAACAAAAATGCATTGTTACATTGAAAAACTTTAAGAACTAGGAAGAAAAGGACTTTCTTCAACCGTTGGGGCCAAAATATGTCTTTCATTGAGCATCAGAAAAAGATGGACAGGGCAATCCTAGAAGCAACAAATTAAATTGGCGTGGCCTAATGTTCTTCCATAAACTTGACTAAGCTGGTGCAGAGAATAGTACAAGGATTTAGAAACAAAATCCCTAAATATATCTTTCCTGATAGGTATTTGTTTTGTATGTTTTCTGAAAAAATTTTGGATACATGGTGCTGAAATGCCTTCCATCAATTTTAGAATTCAGTTCTAGAATAGGGCGTGACCCCTTGCAGATTTCTTTTGTACTGCAGGGTAAAATTTCTATTCTGCCACAAAGATGACAAGATATATTGAAATGATGTATTTAGAGTTGTTGTTGTTGTGTAATAATTTCTTGCATGTTCATCATTGTTCATTTCTCGCTGACCCCCCTGCATATTCCACTGACCTCCAATCAGCACGTCGGCAGAACGTACTGCGCCTGCGCAGAATACCGATTTTTTACGGTTTTCATTGGATTTTTGGTCAACGTTGCATTAGAATTTTGCTTGTTGCAGACGATATTTTTTCCGACATAACATTTGGAAAGTACAGACGGAGTGTTAACCTTATATGCGCGAATACAACCTTATATAGGACATTCTGCGGAAGTGCTATGCACAATATATTACAGATTTCGCGCAGGTGCAGTACGTTCTGCCGACGTGCTCCTCCAATTCAATCTTCCTGTAAATTTATGGTTACACCATTTCCCCTTCACTTCCTGAGACTTGACTGTATTTGGACACACAAGCAAACAAACAGACAGACAGACAAACACACCTGAAAACAAAATCTTGAAGGTAACAAGTCATGGTACCGGGGCTCTAGCCAGCACCCATTTTTCCATCAATAGCAGCAACTTTGTGGCGTGTGATGGAACATTTTTTAAACCAATCCATCAACCTTGATGGACGAAATTGACAGAAATCTTGGATAGAAATAGGCAAACATCTAAAGAACCACCACCAACCACTCTCAATCCCATGATTTGCTTCTCAAAATGTTGGAAACTGCATTTTTAAAGGCTTGAAAATGCAAAATTTGCCTCTTGGACCACCCCCTCCCCCCAGCTTGTGACCACTCTTACTACTTCCTCCCAAACATAAACTTTTCTTGCTAGAGCCTTGCATTGTAAATTTGTATAAGGCAATGTACAGCATGTATGGTGCAGAAGTTTGCCATCTCTGGGATGATATTTAATTTGTTACCTTTAAATTATTTTACATTCCTCAGCACCAGTGCCAAGTACTCCTCCCCCAGTAAGACCAGAGGTAGGAGGTACATGGTTGTGAGTGAGGTGGCCCTGGGGAAGTGTAAGGATGTGTACCAACAGGACACCAGTCTCACACAACCTCCACAGGGGTACAACAGTGTGCATGGAGTCAAGAACACAGATGACATTCCTTCTGAGTTTAAGGTACATGTATAGGTAGAATGCTTGTTTGCTTGGAAAGGAAAAGGAAAGGTCTCCCATGCCCTTGTGCAGAGCGTAGGGTGGTGCCCATATCCATTTCTGTAGCCCTTGGGCGACACACAGTTGTGCAATGCTCTTAATGCTCTTTCTCATATGTGCTGAGTGCTAAGCAGAGAAAGATGTGTGTACCATTTTTAAAGTGGTATGACCCGGCCGGGGTTTGAACTCATGACCTCCTGGTTACAAAGCGAGCACTCTACCAATTGAGCTATTGCCGGTTGTTTGCTTGCCTGAGTGTATATTTCACATTAGGCCACACTGACTTAATTTTATGGATGACATTGTCTGAAAACCCAGAAACTAGTGTGCATGGGCAAATAAAAAAATGCAACTAAACCACACGAATACAAACCTGGTATTGTGAATTTGCGGTATTACATTTGGCAACTTTTACAACAAGCAATAGACATCTTCCCTCCATGAACGAGGTTGGTGTTGTGTACAAACAAACCACCACATTAGCAAGGCCGGCAGGTCAATGACCCAAAAACAACCAGACCAAAGAAATATATAGCCTGTCAAACAGGAGGTAAAAATAGATACACTGTGGTCAAACACAGACCACACTACTATAAAATAGGGGTGATAATGTAGAAATCCTTTTAAATTAAGCAATACAAATATACGACAACCTGCTAATGCACTCTAAAACACAGACTCAACAACTACCCACATACCAAAAATTATACCAACCATCCACCAGATTTTCCAAACATTCAACACAAAAAGACCAACGTTAAACATTTTGTAAATATCAAACGCAAACAGCTAAGAAACCCAAATTTAAACCACTAAACCATAATAATAACAACTACATGCTACCTTAATATCGCACAAACAGTCCATAACGCGCCAACAATAGAATAAAAAAATTAAACTGCAGTACCAAGGTCAATCACCAGGGGCTCAAAGTCAACCTACACAATCTCCAAGGCCCCATCCATCAATCTGCCAAATTTCATACAGTTCCTTTTCAACGATCTTCAGATATCAGACCAAAACCTGAAACGGAGCAAAAACAATACCCCCATTACATGGAGGGTAACAAGCCGGCACATGCTGGCCTTTGGCAGCATTTATAAATCAGCACTGTACTGAGTTCTGTAGTTCCATGGAGTGTCGGTAGCCCAGGAGCAAACAATGCTCATTTGAATCTATACTCTTTTTTTTATAAGGGTATTCAAATCTAGAACTGTTACAGTTATTACACATTATGTGGAATATTGAAAATGTTTTTTTTTTGTTTCAGGATAATGAATATGTCATCTACAATGTTCAGCAGCAGAAAATGAGGTATGTTTGTACTATGATTATATTCTGTGAAAAAATTCAATATTAGGCATCTTATACAATGAATGAATGGAATTTATTGCTCAACAGTTGTACATGGTATACTGTATGGCAAAAATGACATAGCAATCAAATAGTACTTATAAATTGAATATAATTATGATACTAAGTCTATTCTAGAACTATGACAGTCTACAGGAATATGAAATGTCATATTGACATACATGTACATGCAATGTATACATATGCTGAACGTTTCTGTTTGTTACAATATATTGTCTCTTATGTAAAGCTCTAAATATTATAATACGTTGGCCTAACTATGTGGGAATACACACTAAAATTAAAGGTGATCACTTCAAGTCTGAAAATTTTCGGATTGTTTCAGGTATCTAGTGGAGTTTTCGTTACCAGGTGACCAGGTGACACCTGTGGATGAAGCTGCATACCTGCACCTGCTGACACCTGAAGTGGAGATAGAGGAAGATCAGGATCTAAACAAGATCTGTAAGTGCAGCTGTAAAATAATTAATGACTAATTACATTATATGACTGTCAGCATGTCAGCAGAACATACTGCACCTGCTCAAAACCACAATTTTTCATAATTTTTGTTGGATATTTGGTCAAAGTTGCACCAGAATTTTGCCCATTGCAGATAATATCTTGTCTGTCACAATATTTGAAAACAATAGATGGGATGTCATCCTGTCTTGTTTTATTGCCATGCTTTTGGAATAAGAAAATGAAATAAGAAATGGAACAGCACTTACAGTACCAGCAGCCCATACGAAAAGACTGAAAAACTCTTTCTTACTCAGGGCAATACGCCTGTACAACGAGTCTTCGCAGTAAGACTCTTAGGACTCTCTGGTCTTTACTGTATTGCCCATGTGAGGCTTTTGTAATGTTTTTGTTTGTGTGATTGTATATGTTCTGCAATGTTAATTTGTATTTGTCAGACAAGTAACTGTAAAAAATCAGTGTTATTCAGCATGTTTTTGTACAGGCTGCAAGGCTGATTTTTATGAAAAAAATTGTCATAAAATACACTAATATGATTTGAAGCAAGATGTTCTGCCAAAGTGCTATCTACAGTTTGCTATGGTTTTCTTGTTCTCTGCCTTGTCTTATTGCCCTGCTTTTGGAATAAGAAAACTACTTGTCTAAGAAGACCACTTTTCCTCAGTCCCATGGGTGGTCGTCTTAGACAAGTTTGACTTTATACTGTTAAGTATTACAATGTAAGACTTTATATCTATTAAATGTCATTATTATGTTTACTGAAGGAAAACATATTGTTTTTGCTACGTTTCCTCTTCTTCTCCTGCAAACAGTGACCTCAATGACCTGAACCAAAAAAATGTTTTTTCTGTTACCACGGTAACTAGTGTTGGGATACATCATGTTGCAATTTTATAGCAGGAGGGATTTAGACTCCTGTCACCATATAACAAACATGATCTGCTGCCACATTTTCCACTGTACAAAAAAGCGAGAAGAAGTTGACCTCTCTATATTAGCTCACTGACTAGAACACTTTGTATTAGCTTAGTATATATATATATACTAATATATATGTATGTTCCTTATGTATGTACTGTATGTCTAAGTCAAGTAGTGCATCTTTTGTCTCCAATTTTCTACATACGTTTGTTATGTGTCTGCTATATCTTGACCTGTACCTAGCCTGTCGTGCCATGAATGTACAATAAACTTATTTCATTATCATTATCATTATAATGTGTTTGAGTAAGAAAAGAGCAGACCATATGCGAAGGTAAACATTATGCATTTTTCCTTACAAATGTTAGTATTGATATAATCATTTTTTGTCATGTAGCCCTTGAGGATGTCCAGAACATTGCTGACCCCCTGGACAAGGTCAAGGGTGGGCTGATCTCCAAATCAGGGGAGGAGATGCCTGTCCCACTCAAGTCTGTTCATGTCAGGGCAAAACTCCTGGACTTAGCTGCACAGGTAAACAAAAACAAAAATATGTTTAAAGTTAAAACTTTTGTTCCAACACAAAAAAATTCTCTCACCTAGAGCTTTCGACCAGTCACTCAGTTAGTCTTTGGTACGTACTGTATATTTTTGTGGCATTTGTATGATTTGAGCATGTCGGCGACGCGTCCGACCGCCGTTTGGTAAACAAATTTACATATGTATTCAGAACCTAGCCGGCCTAATTAAATTAGGCAAGCACATCTGTAGTAATCTTGTACGGTAATCCCGCTAAGGAATAACAGGAGCGGTGACAGCTCTAGGGTCCCGCTAAGGAATAACAGGAGCGGTGACAGCTCTAGGGTCCCGCTAAGGAATTCCGGAATAACAGGAGCGGTGACAGAGGGTCCCGCTAAGGAATAACAGGAGTGGTGACAGAGGGTCCCGCTAAGGAATAACAGGAGCGGTGACAGCTCTAGGGTCCCGCTAAGGAATAACAGGAGCGGTGACAGCTCTAGGGTCCCGCT